CATTTACTGAAAAACTCCTCTGTTTTAGTGCAGTTCTTGAAAAGGGAACTCGAAAATCTCCTTTCCTTCTGCTGTTACTGTCCGTGATGAATGAAAACAAATTTAAAAAAGGTTCTGGTGACGACCCCTTGGATATCTTACTCATCATTATTACAATTTTAAAATCAACAAGATCTTTGAATTTCAAAACATGAGATTTAATGAAAAGGTCATTTGTGTGCTCCCTTGGGCCTTTATAATTTATAATTCCTATTGCTTTTTTTTTTTTAACCAACCATAATCATTCTAAAACATTTTTACATGCATTGCCCCACACATAAATACAGTACGTAAAATAAGGAACAATTAATGTGGAATAAAGAAGAAGCAATGATGCCTCATCCAGAACCTGTTTTACATTAAATAAAATACCAATACTTTTGCTCACTTTATTTTTTATATAATCTATATGAGGCTTCCAACTAAGTCTCTCATCCAGCATTACACCCAAAAATTTTATGTCGGAGACCTTTTCAATGTTGACATCATCAACAATGATCTTTTCATGATCATCATGTTTCTTTGTGCCAAATATCATGTATTTTGTTTTGCCCCAATTCAAAAATAATTTATTTTGATCAAACCATTTTTTTAAGTTAACCATTTCCCTTGCAACATCCGTTATTAATTTATTTAAATTGCTTCCCGAATTGAAAATTATTGTGTCATCAGCAAATAATAAAAGATTCATAATACTGATACCCTCATAAATATCATTAATAAACAAAATAGTTTTTGTCCAATAACGGAACCTTGTGGAATGCCACATGTGACTGTTTTGCAGTTAGAATTATAGTTATTATATTGAACATATTGTCTATTATTTAAATAATTCTCTAGCCATTTATGAATATGACCCCTTATACCATCGCTGTGTAATTTTGATGATAAAAGATTATGATTAACAGTATCGAATGTTTTCTGTAAATCCAAAAAACACACTCACCATGTATTGCTTGCTATCAATAGCAGTATGTATCTCTTCAGTAAAGTGTATCAGTGCATCAGAGGTTGACTGATTTGACCTAAAACCATATTGGTGCGGATAAAGTAAATTGTTTTTTTTCTAAGAACAAGTCTAATTTATGTGTAAACAATTTTTCAATTATTTGGGAAAACTGGGAATGCACCGAAACTGGTCTGTAATTATTGAAAATATGTTTATCTACATTTTTAAATAAGGGAATTATTTTGGCAATCTTCATTTTTTAGGGGGAAAACTCCTGTGCTAAAAGAGAGATTACAAATGTAATGCAGTCAACTGTGTTCTCAGTTATGGTCATATCTATTCCAACGCAATCAGTTGAGGTTTTGTTTTTGCATTTTTGCTTTTAGCTATTACTTCATTCTCTGAAATTTCACTGAGAAACATTGACTGACTAATCCGGCTGCCACCCCCTGAAGCACTGTTACACATTTCATCCTGAGTATGGTTTAAATGCTTTTTTGCAATATTCGGCCCCACATTAATGAAGAAAGAGTTGAATTCATTTGCAATCTCATTTTGATCATTTAATACTTTGTCATTAAGCACAAAGTGCTCTGGTAAATGAGTACTCTGAGCATTCGGCCTCATCACATTGTTGAAAACATTCCATGTTTCTTTTATCTTGTTCTTATTGTCATTTAATTTCTTTTTATAGTAATCGTTTTTAGCCTGTCGCAATATTGTTGTTAATTTATTCTTATATATTTTATATTTCATTTCATAATTAATTGTTCTAAACTTGACATAATCTTCATACAATTTGTTTTTCTTTTTGCATGTTTTCTGTAATCCAACAGTTATCAGTTATGGCTTTTTTATCATACCTATTAATTTTACACACTTTTAATGGACAATTTTTTATTGTATAGAGTTACAAAAACCTTCAAAAAAATCTTCATATGCCTTATTCACATCAATCACATAAACCTTTTCCCAATCCTCATTTAACAAAACATCAGAATATCAAAACAAATATCAAAATAAAACAGGAAGTTAAAAGAAAATAAAACCCAAAAGACCATGACAAGTTTTCTTACTAAAAACCTTCTGAAGAAATTTTGATTTAAGCTGCAGTTTTATTTTAGAGACAATTCCTGTTCTTCCTTTCAAAGCCACAGAAGAGCTGGTTGATTCTATTTTCTTACTTGTTCGTACTGATTATGGCGGTATGTTAAACACGAATGCACCATTGCATGAAGCCGAACCTAAAACTCATTGCTGTGCTCTGTAGTCCAAAGTTGGCTGACAATCCTCTCGCTTGAGTCATCGGTATATTTATATTTATGAAGCCATTCTGGACTAACTGCCCTCGTATCTCTGCGAACTGATTTCACGGAGCCCATCTTCCAGTCATTATCTCATAGGACAGACGTCTGTTTCAGAGTTCGGACGGAAATAGGAAACAATGCTTTCATGTTTGCTGCTGAAGCCTCTTGGAGTTTGCAGAAAGACATTAGAAAAATGACATATTATTTTTTCTTTCAAGCACTTATACATCGTCATCTGGTTCTGTGTTGTTCTGTTTTGAGCCTGATGTTGTGTTTGGCATAAGATCTGTACTATGAAGCAGGATTAGAGGTTATCAAGGTAACTTTAGGTTTAACTCTTAGTTTTCAAGAGTGCAACAGTTGTTCACTTTTTATCTGGTACATCTTATTCTAAACACGACCTGCTTCAAAAGAAGTTAAGTTAGAGATAACAACACAACACCAGAACACTTAGTTCTCTTGAAAAATAGCATCAATTGCAATTGTAAAGCCACTTCATTGCACATGTATACCAAAATAACCCTAAAACAGATGCTGATAAAACACAAAATCCTTGTATTTCTTGACTTCACAGGAATTGAGTGATATTTTTTCTATTTGTTCTTTATGTGTTTAACACTGAGAAGAAGCTGAAGAAGACAGAAACTGTCTATGACAGTTTAAGAACATCAGACCAAATGTGAGATTACTGAAAAACAGCTATGTAGAAGCCAATAATGTAATAACAGCTGATAACGTAACAACGGCAGATAACGTAATAAATTTGCACTTTTTAAAATGTAATAGGCCAATAACATAACAAGTTCAAGGTCTTTATTTATCACACTCACAGTCATACATGGTATAACGCGCAGTGAAATGCTTTGAATTTGTTATGTTTGAGTTATGTTATTGGCCTGGTACAAAAAATTCTTTGCAAATGTGAAAACCAGCTCTAATACATTTTAAAAATGGCAAATTTATTACATTATCGGCCGTTTTGCTATTGGCTTCTACGAGTTATATTCAAACTACTTGAATATTTATTCTTTCCATTATTTATAGTTTTTGTGAGTAAAGCTAAACGCACTCAGAATTTCATTCAGAAGCCCTGATTTGACTGATACGTCTTAGCCTGATGGTGACTGTTACGTTTTGTGATTCCAGATAATGAAAAGATACTAATGTCAGTGGTTGTTTCTGATGCTACTCTTTTTTGTCCAGTGCAGTTTTCTGTGAAAAGGCTTTATGTACATTAAAAGTTGTTTAACAAAACTGTGACTGATCGTGTTTCTCGTCAACAGCTCGCTGCACCAAAGAGTGTGTCCACGGCCGCTGTGTCGCTCCAGACCGCTGCCAGTGCGAAGGCGGCTGGCGAGGCGACGACTGCTCCAGCGGTATGAATCAGCCTTTTCCTCTCAATCTCAGACATTTCCTCACTTTCTCGCTCTTTCTGCCTCTCCTCACACATACACACTCCTCATACACAACAGGAAAAGACAGCTGGCCATTAGTCAAGTGGCTGATCTTCACATGCACCACTCCATCACACACACCGAAGGTCTTTCCAATGGAAACAGCAAGGGAGCATTACCGCATGCACGGCAGTGAGTCACCGATGTCAGCCTCGGTCCAGAAAGCAGTTTACTAGTCCAGGAAGATGCCAAGCAGCACTTTTACCTCTCACTCACTGTTAATATGNGACAGGACAGTCGAATTTCTAGCACACGGATGAGTGCTTCACGCGGGATCCAATCGTACGCTGCTTTAAGGTCGATAAAGCAGAGGAATAGTGGTTGCTTTTCCTTCTCTAGAATGTGTCTAGTGATGTATATGGCATCACATTTCGATCTGTTTTTCCTGAATCCAAATTGTGTGTCCAACAAAATAGTCTTGTAGATCGCCCTTATCCTCTCCATGACAACAACTGACACGATTTTGGACATTGTTGCAAATATTGACAGGCCAGGGTAGTTTTCAGCCAAACATTTGGAACCCAGTAATGTCACGTCATTCCTCTTGTTTCGATATTAAAAAAGGGTTTTGTGAATGTTACACAAGGAACAGTTCAGAAAATAATCTGCAGAACAAGCGTTCCCTTTTTTTAAACCTACTTCTTGCAGCCCAACAAGAAGCAGGTTGTAGAAATCAAAAGCAAGTTTTAATCCAAAACCAAATTGTAAGTACAGAAAGACATGGAATCAAGAAATAAAATAACACATCACTGTTCAAAAAACGAAATGCAGAAACCAAAGTAAGGCAAGGACTGTGAGGAAAACCAGACAGGTCAACACGAGGGAAGCAAACTGGAGACGATACAGGACTAAGTGGCAAAGATGAGACTATTTAACTGATTGGAGAGGAAAGACAAAAAGATGAAAGTGAAACTCCTCAAAAGATGCGGGAAACAGTCAAAGGAAGGAAGTAAACACACAAGTGACACGCAAGCAAAAGGCGATATTTATTTATTTATTTATTTATATATGTATGTATGTATGTATGTTTTTAGTTTTTTCATACCCATTGTATTGTACATCACAACAAGAAAACATGGCAG